TAATGCTGGTCAATTTTGACCCAGCGTAAGTTTTAAATTTCCTGATAAATCATGAATGAAATAAAAATAAAATATATTAATATATATTAATATGTATAATAAAAATAAAATTACAAAATCACATGATAATGATTCTCATATGACTTCTATATGAACTCCCGTTATAATGACATTCTCGTCATATTGACATTTTTTGATATTTCCAATAATTAATTCGTTGTTATTCATAATTAATTTCGTCGCCCGTAATTAGTTTCGTCACCCGTAATTAATTTCGTCACCCGTAATACGGTAATTAATTTCGTAATTATGATTTTAAAGAGGAAAATGGTAATTAATTACGATAATTACGTATTATGTACTTACGGTAATTAGGCAATTACCATCCCATGTATAAATTTATGTGTTAGAATATCAATGGGGATTTCTATCGCTGCAAAATATGATATGTTACACGTAAAATGAATATTTCAAGCCTTGTACAGTATATATTATCTAGTAAATTATGCGTAACGTTACTTCTCAACTTTAAATTGTATGTGATGGGTCGAAAAAATAGAAAAAAAAATCAACAAAACGAGCAGAACCAACAAAAAGAACAGAACCAACAAAACAATCAGAACGAACAGGACCAACAGAATGAGAGTCAGAAGGAACAGAATCAGAATAATATATTTTTAGAAGCTTTAATTGATATAAATGATCCAGAAAATATCGTAAATAATAATAGTAGCAGTGATAATAGTAATAATAACAGTAACAATGATAATAGCATCTTTAACAACAATAGCAGCAATAGTAGTACCAATAATAATGAAGAACTTAGCATAGAGTTTTTGGAAAATTTTTTAGGTGATGTTGCAAAAATTTATAATCATGGTAAAACATTCTTGACTTTTAATGAAGAAAAAGAAAATTTATCAAAACAAATTTTGCAAATTAAAGATGAATATAATGATTTAATTAAAGAGAAGGATAAAACAATTGCAGAATTTAAGGAATCAATAGCAATAGTTAAGCTTAATAATATCAGTCTAACAAATAACAATAATGATCTAAATTCAAAAATGTCAGAAAAAGATGCTGCAAATGATAAATTAAGAAAAGAAACAATTGAATATCAAAATCTTTATTCAACGCTAGTAGCTAAATATAATGATTTAGTTCAAGAATATAATA